TCACACCTATAGAACTCACACATATGTACACAACACAAAGAGCTAGGTGGCCCTGTTTTGTTTTGTTTTTTTTTTAGGCAGGGAGAGATAATATATCATTCTCTATTTCTTTTTGCTCAGTCTTCACCCACCCAGCTTTAACATTGTTCAAGTCCGTTGAATGATTCATATTAAATTTTTCACATGATTGACAAGACTCACCTTTTTTGTACATGTAGGTCCTGAGTTTGCTGAGAAGGAAAAATGTTGAGCAAGATGTTATAGAGAAGTTTAGAGTAGAGAAAGTATATATGAAAGAAAGTAGTTATTCTTAGCAATTCCCCCAATTCTCAGCTATCCAGCAGAACAGAAACACGTAACATTTATGTTAAGGCCAGATAGCTTTAATCAATGGATGGCAGGTCAAGGGGTTCCATAAAAAATAATGCAAGGCAATCTCAATAAGTGGAAATATTTAACATTGCCATGTGGAACCATGAATATACACCCACTATACATAGCGAGTTATCCAGTGGATAAAGTTATCTGGCTGTTTAGCAATGCAGGCAAGGTCTTCTCCAAACAAAAAAGGCAACAATGCAAAATGACAACACTAGATAGCATTAATTTTTATTGAAAATTTTTCAATTCAGTTTTCCCTACAAAGTATTATAGTATTACTATGGTCAAACTTTTACTTCTTGAACTTTTAGGTGTATCACAGAGAATTCCATGAAAGACTATACTGTCCTTTACTGCTTTCAAATATTTTCATTCGTTCTGGAGATTTAAGTTTATAAAATGTGTGAAATATGGAAATGATAGGACTGACGATGTCATACACTCAACCCAGTATTCTGTCAAGTCTAAAATTAATGAATAAAAATATCTCTGCCAATTTGAAGCAGAGACCAATGAAACTTGGTACATGCAGGCTAATACTTCTACAGGCAACACACCTAAGCTTATCAAAATTCTGTTTGCACGATAACTCACTCTTTCCCAGTCTCTGCCAACCAGATTTCAATAATTTAGTAGTTTTCAGCAGGAAAAGCATTAAATAAGGCCACAAAATATCCTCTTTCTGTTAGTGGTTTTTATTGGGTTCAATACTTGTAAAGTAAAATTTGGTATTTAGTACATAATCACTATTATTATTGTACAAGCAATCGTGCATGTTGGTTTGCTCTTCGCATGGAGTTGTATGTGCTTAGTAGAAGACATGATGAATACTCTTGATGACTGTGATCTACTAGAAAAAGTTGTCAATATGACTAATGTACATGAACATAATGATGTTACAGTGTCAATAAAGTACAAGAATTCAGAGCTATTCCTCTTTTTTTTCCTATCAACATCTTATCATCTTAAACTGTGGCATTTAGTACCTCAAACCCTCTTGTATTGAGTACCCTGTATATCCAAGGGATTGAAAGTTTTGTACATGAAAGTTTGGGAGAACTCGAAAAAGCTGTGGAAAACTTGTACTCCTACCGTATTTCTCTTTTTTTTTAGAACTTGCATTATGTATTATAGAGCTCAATTAAGTATTCTGATTAAAGCGTTGTGTTGTTTAATTCTTTAGATAGACTGTTCTGCAGTTGATTGTACCGCAAAGGATTTGTGTTCTAAAAAAAAACAGGACACAGGACAGTTTAGAAAGAGAAAACAAAAATTGCAAATTGGTTGGAGAAATAATGAAAGAGAAACAAGCAAAAGAGAAAATCAACTCATCTGAGTACAAGTCCAAGTCCAAGTGCAAGTGTACCTGAAGAGACAAGTTCAACCACAAGAGCTCCCAAAACCAGAATTACGTTGGGACTGATGCAACTCAACAAGAGTAAGAACAAGTTTGTCTCAGTAAGGTATGCTAGGGGAGGTGGCAGCCACACTTAAGGTGTGCCACTTACTGCCACAAAACAAGAGTTGATTGAGATGGGTAAAGATGTCTTTTTGCAGAAGGTGTTGCACCCATAGTAAAAACTTCTGATTTTACTTTTGATCTGCCTAATTTTAAAGGAAAAGCTATAAATAAACTTTGAGACAGTGATGGGCATGAACAGCCCTTCACCATTCAAGAATATTTCGAAACTTACAAGTTGACAAGAGTTAGCTATATCTTACATGCCAGTCCTGTGAAGATTCTGATGATAAAGAGGTCATGGCCAATGTCTTTGGGCCTTAAACGAGCAACAGTCAGTCATCCAGAACTCCTCAAAACAAATGCATATGCTGATATGAACATGCTTTTACCAAAGGAAATTTGAAAGATTTCAGTAAAGAGACCTCAAGTTTTGGATCCTTGTTAATGGTATGTTATTTCCTAATTGTAGATCCACGCTGCAGCAGCAACCTAGAAGCCAGCCAGAAGGTAAGTATACATTATTGGTCATACAAAATGTCCAAATTGGGCCTGTAGACAGGTTCCATGGTCAAAATAGCCTGAAAATAGCCTCCCGCTTGAAAGATGATATGATGTCACTGTTTAAGAACAAAGATTAGTTGGATTGCATTTCTTCTTTCAGAATTATCGATGAAAGAGAAAAGCTTGAAGAGGGTGTAGGTTTGGGTGTAGCAAGAATTGTCGTTGTTACGTTCTGGCAACAATTGTTTGCAGCTACAATGGTCAGTGACAAAGAAAAGTTACCATGTATTCACCACGACTTTCAAAAAAGCGAATGGACGGCAATAGGAAGAGTGTTAGAACTCAAACAGTACCCAGAGTTCAGCAGCCTCACTGGCCTGGACGACTTTTCTTCTGCCAAGATGCCATCAGCAAAGAAGACTGCTAGAATGCCGCAGAGTCAACCAGAAAATGAAGCCAAGACTCAGTGCTTAGACTACCTCAAAAAATTTATTAGATCTCTGGATGCTCCTGCTCTGGGCACTTTCCTGAAATTCACTATGGAAAGCGATATACAGCATGAACACCAGGAAGTTTCATTTACCTCAATGGATGGCGAGTTGCGGCGACCAATTGCCTGCACCTGTGGCCCGTTGTTAGAGTTACCAAGAACTTACCGTAACTACACCGAAGTAGCTGAAGAGTTCACAAGCCTGCTTGGGGAAAAAGGAGCACGGGCATGTTTGATTACTGGCATCAGACTATCACTAGAGGATGTGCCTGGGCTTGTTATTTCTGTGTTCTGACAGTGATCTGTGAACATTTGATACATGTTAGTCAGAGAAGCAACGTTTTGCTGTAGTTCATGCTAGAGCTGAACATAAGAAATTGTTCCTGTTTGGTTTTGAATTATTGATTGCAACTAGTCAAAGAGTGAAAGCATAAGTGGAAAAGGTATGCAGTCGGAAAGGCTACATGTTTTTTTAAATTGGTTTGTTAGAATTTTGTGCCTGTAGTTCATCGTAAGTAATAAGTTCATCAAAGTAATCTCAGTTATTCCTTTTTCTGCAACAATCTGTTGTTGAGTTTCTGTTAACTTTTAATTCCTAGATGAAAGGACCGTCTCCTCAGTTATTAAATTTTGTAGGTAGAAAAAGAAGTAAAGAGAGATTGAGGATGTATGTTCAACATTGTGTGCACATTGTGTACATCTATCTTGCGCACTGATTGGTTGAAAATCGAGTTTTTCTCAAACAATTAGGTTATGAGCTTGAGATTTCTTTTGTTTGATAGTTGACGAGGGTGCAGCCCGACTCAACTATTACGCATAGAAATTGAGAGCAAATAATCGAATTGTTTTAAGATAAATCTACTAGTTGAGAAAACTTTGTCTAAATCCTCTTCATAGACACTTTGAAAACCAAAAGAAGCAGTCGTCATTTTGTTTGTGCTATCCACAACAGAATAGGTAGTGAGTAGCTTAGCCAATCAGAGAACAGCATTTATGGCATTCATGATAGAAGGCCTGTAGATTTATACTTTAACTCAATAGAAACATAATATATCCGTTCCATATCTTAAATAACCATTCCCTTTGGCGATTCTGGTACTTGAGGAAAAGGGCAGCTTTGTCAGTTCCTATTTTCTCTTCTATAAACAACACAATAAAGGTAAATTAACATGCCTCTCCAATGACTAGGTAAAGTCATGACACTGAAAGTAGCTTCTTCAAATGGTGTGCAAAATTATCATTATCAACTCATGCTAGTCAATGCTGAAAGGGAATTTTCATGAAAGAAAAACGAAACCTTCATGATGCCTTAGCCTCATTCTTGAAATAGACTAATTAAAAAAGCATCCAACTCAGTAGTAATAGATTTAGCTCTTCATCTTTCATTGAGGTCCATATATTACACAGAACATTACATACTTGTTGATAGGTATTTTATCTTTTTATGTTTATATTTCTCACTGGTTCCATTTCCCCACAAGCCACCATGTTATATTCTCTATACATCACACAATAAAAGGTAACGCTGACAAAAAGTGACACTGTAACAGACGAGTTTACAGTTTGGATAGAACCCATTCTTAAGTTCTGTCGAATGTCATTGACAGAGTTTTCTTTTGGAAGGAACACATTCTGTGACTTGTGCATCCAAACAAATGAGCAGATGCCTTTTACAAGCTATCAATGTGGTGAAGTAGTTCCAGATACAAAGACACAGCCTCGTCTGTGTTTCTCGGCGATTGTAAGTCAATATCTTCTATAACGAGTTCAGCTAAATGTACAAACAAAGAAGAGCAGCCAAGAGGATGGTATCAGGTGCCTCATAGATTTTCTGCAACATCCAAATCACTTTCATTGGTGGCAATTTTGTAATGTGTGGTGTTCGATTCTCTTGGGAGGAAAAACAGTTCATCAGGTCTCCTGGCAGGTGTTTCCCCATTCGATGGCCTTATTCTATGTGAATTCCAGTGCTGTGACACTCTATGCAACTCCTCCTGAATTAAGCTCATGAAGCAAAACCTTAAGCACTCTACATTTGAGTGACCATGAGCATTTCTTTAACACCTTAAGCATCAACTGGATGACATTGCTATCGTCAAAGTGCCCTATGGGGGTTAAATTTTCAAAAAAACGTATCCACCAGTCTGTATTACTTTTCCTGAGAAAGGCCCACCAAACCTCAATCCTTTGGTTGGCTACAGATTTGCCACACAAAAAGCTCTTTTTTCTAGCTAAGTTGTCTCAAAAGTGACATCTAAGAAATCACTGGACCGCTGCGACAAGTATGTTTTCAGTCTCACAATCACCTCACACTAGCTGTGGACAACTACCTAACTGACGGACTCAATCTAGGTAATTTTTTACTATTACCATTGGGTTATTGTTTGAGGGGCCTACCTCCAGCCACAATATGTAACAACTGTAGCCGTCAATAGCACTATGAATGCAAAACCCATAACACTTCAGCTTGTCATAGCCATCAATATGCCATATGCAGTTAGGGCCTGCTACCATGTACCTCCTCCTTCCAAATCGTTTCCTCAATCGTGACTCAACGCCATCAGGATCTAGGTTCTTCACTATTCATAATACTGTGTTTCAATCAATCAAAATCCTGTGGTTTGTTAGTAGATACTGGTGCATTTTTCAATAGCCAATACAACTTCCACTACTCTGCAACTCTTGGTTTACCGCATTTACCACCCTATGAGTCCTAGACTGAATCTTTCTTTGTTGAAGCCCTTGAGATCTAAGAATCCTTTTTAGCTGACGTAGAATTAAGTGAACGCTGTAACATAAGAGAAGAAAGGACATAATCTCAGGGTAGTTAAGACTGAGGTGACAATATTACTTGATCAAATAAATTTGTCCATGGTTGCCACATATATTCCTTATGGTTGGCAGATAATCTGGAAGAGCCCAGTCATCTGAAACTTTCAGCAAAATGAGGAAAATGGTCAGAAAGACACGCTCATGGTCACCAACCATCTTTGTCCATCGATCTAGAGTCAACATGCGTGTCCAAAGCACATGACTTGTAGTATTAACTTTGGTTAAGGTGCGATCTCTATTTTTGTAAGTTGCAATCACAAGTCATTAAGTTGTGGTCGCAAGTTAGTAAGTTGCGATCACAACTTAGTAACTTGCGAAGGAAAAAATCAGTGTGTCCCTTTTGAGCCACTGTACGACTCTGACTTGGAGTATGGAGAAATGCTACTAATAAAATATGTTCATCGAATCTGAAATGACTGACATGTAATGTTATAAAATCTCAGGAATGTTAACCAGCTCGTACAAAGCTTTATGTCCCAAATACACCTTATTATGAGAAAAGAAAAATTAGAGTGTCTAAAAAAATTAGAGTCTAATTTAGACCGCACTTTTTAGATGATCAGTGGACTTCAACATTTCCTCCTCAGTGTTTCTTTTTTTTTTTTATTAAATCAATCTTCCTTTCAGTGCTGAATATAAGGCATTGTAACAGTTTTTCAAAGACTTGTCGTTAAGGTGATACTTGATCCCTTAGAACACCAGCTCCAAGTGTCAATCTCTACGGTCTTTAGGGTTTGATCGTAAGTTCACTGGTTTGATTGCTTTTACGCATTATAAATAAGTCATCTTGATACCTGAGCTTTTTATTTTTGGATACCTTGATTATTACAAAGGAAAGCCAATTGGAAACCATCAACTGTACAAAGTTGGCAGCAATTTCTCTGCAGATTTAATCTGCCAACAATACAATCAGGCCAGCACAAGGGTGTTCCTGTCAGCCACTGTCACAGGGGGAAGCCAAACAGATAACTCTCCACCTGACTTGGGACAAAGGGAAATCACCACAAATCGAAGTAAATACTGAGTCACAAGTGATTTTCATAGTGAAAGGACGATAAATATCTCCTCTTGATGGCACTTGAATGCTCAATGTCCTTATTCCCATAATCCCAATTCATATTTGGCAAAAATTTTAGCCATAGCTATAAGTCAAGATCACAAAGAGCCAGTTATTGTGGCTATAATTACTGCCGTGGACCAAACTTCAAAATCACAGTGTTTATAGAAGGATAAGACACATTTCTTGTACTCAGTAGGGGTAAATGAAGCACTCGCATTGGTTGGATGAGATGTTTGTAGCCATTTCTGCTGAGTAAGTAACTGCTGAATGCTGCACACCTAGTTTCAAATTGAATTAATTAGTTTTCTGTCTCATGTCCAGGTGTACAAGCTCCTTCAACTTCCACACAAAGTCAGCCAGACAAAGGTACCATTCTCCTTTTACCTTTGGAGGATTGTGTACAGATGGTTTTTCCCAAACCATATTTCCTTTAACCACTGCAAATGTCTGTCCTGGAGTTTCCTTCATTGAAATCCCATTCAAAGCTGTATGCTAGTTCACATTATACCATAGCTCTAGTAAATGTAGTGTTTATAGAAGGATAAGACACATTTCTTGTACTCAGTAGGGGTAAATGAAGCACTCGCATTGGTTGGATGAGATGTTTGTAGCCATTTCTGCTGAGTAAGTAACTGCTGAATGCTGCACACCTAGTTTCAAATTGAATTAATTAGTTTTCTGTCTCATGTCCAGGTGTACAAGCTCCTTCAACTTCCACACAAAGTCAGCCAGACAAAGGTACCATTCTCCTTTTACCTTCGGAGGATTGTGTACAGATGGTTTTTCCCAAACCATATTTCCTTTAACCACTGCAAATGTCTGTCCTGGAGTTTCCTTCATTGAAATCCCATTCAAAGCTGTATGCTAGTTCACATTATACCATAGCTCTAGTAAATGTAACAGGTAAACAAAACCTGAAAATAATTATTTGCTTAAGGTGTTTTCAAAATATACAGTGCACTTCAAGTTTAGATTCATTGTAATCCTTTATTACTATGTGGTGAGGTAGTCTAACTCCAAGTGTACTGATTGGTTCTTACTTGGCTGGTATTTTGTCAGATGGACAGTTTCCAGCCATGATAAATAGAGATTTTTCAGAGGATTACCTCTTCTGGATATCTTACATTGATTCCACAGATGGAAAAGAGGTACATACATGATTTAGGGGGGCACTTATCGGGGCATGGGCACTTACCTAAGGAAATATGATTACAAAACACCAATAAGGATATCAAGTCCTTTCACATAATTTGTCTAGATCCCAAGCTAGTCTAACCATTGGGAAGAAATTGAATGATTTCTTCTGTTTCCAGCCATGCAGGCACTTGGCAGCCAAACTCTTGGTGTACCTTAGATTATTCTGAATAATTGTACCCGTGTTGTTTTAAAATGCTCTGTCAAATGATGCAAATCCTTCTGGAGCATACTTAAATGGGGTTATACATACACTTCAACTCTTACAGCCAGCACACATGCTCAATGAGATCTGAAAGAACGTGATAAAAAAAAAAAAATTTAAAAGGTATACATTTACTATCATTGTGTTGTCATTTTCAAGATACAAAGGCTTATTCCAGTTTTTTTGGGGTTAAATGTTGGGATTAGGTGATGTTGATACCCTTAACTAGTGTTAGATTTACCTGAAGCTGTATGGCTATAGATGCTGACACACACAAGCCTGATTAATTTGATGACCATTATCTGGGCAAATAATATATAACTGAACATCATTATTGTAAAATACTATAATAAATTACTTTTACCTTATGGGATCCTTTTAATGCCTATAATGTACATCCCTTGATATTTTGAAAGGTTAAAATAAACATTCATGCTATATGAAAGTATTTACAGTTAGTAATGAATTTCCTGAATGCCTATCATGAAAAAAGATTACCCTGTCCTTGCTAAAATGACAGAAAATACAAGGGATGTTTTCAGAAAGTGTGTAAAAATGTTTAAGAGCGAGATTGAATGGAAAGATTTTGCATTTAAGATAAAATGGACGAGAGAAATTTAGCATGTAGGAAAAGGCTGAAGGAGAAATGAATGAGAAGCGAGTGGGGAAAACAGAGGGGCCAGGGAATGGAAGGGAAGCTAAGGAGGAGAGAGAAAGAGAGAGAATGGGTAAGGGGAAGGAGAAGAGACTGTGGAATGGGACTTGAAGAGGGGAGGGTGGGTAGAATGAATGGGAGTTTAATTTGGTTACAGGTCGTGGTTAGTAGATGAGTCTGGTGAGGAGCGATTTTTTGAGGTTCAGTTGAAGATCCAATTCACTTATTTTAAATGCCCTTGTATTTTTATGTTTTGTCCTTTTTTGAGTGCTTTTTTTTTCTGGTTAGTTTTTCCTGTTCACTGTTTTCAAAGTTGATCTGGCTAGTCTTTTAATGCATTTGGTGATTAAATTTAATTTTACTCTTGAGAACATCTAGAGTGTTTTCTGTCAATGACACATCTGAGAGCAGTTTTGCGAGCATTGCTTTAATAATAGGTACACATGCACTTGTGTATAGATAACAGAAATCTCCCAAGAAAAAAGGTAGGGCATTGACATCTGTCCCTTTGTGTACTTTTGCTACTAGAGAGAAACACAGCTGAAGTTCCTTAACTCACTGTATTTCAGAAAGTCCCACAACTAGATTTAGTGTTGGAGGGTGCTTTTGTACCTGGAACTTGTAACCTCTACTATAGAGGTGGATGGTGTGTTTCTTTGTGTGGTCTCACCCGGAGCTCTATTGCTAGATTTGGCAAGGGGAGGTGCTCTTACACTCTGGAGCCTGCAACTTCTACTATAGAGGCAGAAGGTGTACGTTCCGGTTAGTGATCCTTGACCACTTCTGGTCACGTGACGAGTAGCGTGAGCAGCCACTCAGTACTTTTACTCTATGTATTTGTTGACTCATGTCATTTTCCAGTTTTATTTCAAGTCTAGAATATAATGTCAAACCACCATTTACTGACTACCATTCAATGACTTGACATGGTGTCAGAGTTTTGGGATAATTAGAGCAAACCGAAACACGTCGAAATATCTGAATTTAAGCAGCTGAACACACCAAATAAGAGAATATGGCAACAGGCTTCAAAACTGCAGAGATGAATTGGCGAAATCCAAGCAATACTGCAACCTGATTTTCAGTGGGCCATACTCAAAGAAGTCCAAGAAGGAACAAGCCTTGTTCATCTCACTGTGGATTGGCAGGCAAGGATTAGAAACCTACAATAGCTGGACCTGGGAAAATGCAGAAGATTGCTCAAAACCTATGAAACTTTGGGTGCGATTTGAAAAGCAGGTGGTGCCAAAAATAAACCACAGATTAGCCAGATATCAGCTATAACAGATTCGGCAGAAGAATGACAAATTTATCGATGACTTCTTGACATGTTGCCAAAATCAAGTGAGACGTGCAGGTTCAGGGACCAAGCAGAGAAACAGCTTCTCGAGCAACTAATCGTTGGAACTAAATACAAGGAAGATTACTAGAAAAAGGAGAACAGCTTACCTTCAACAAAGATTTTGACGTTCCAAGGACTTACGAAGCCACTGTATCCCAATTGGAACAGCTTGATAGTGAATACAACAAAGAAACTAATGGATTTAAAGGAAAAAGGAACACCAATGACAACAAACCCAAGAAATGTCCTTACTGCGGACTCAAACATCCTTTACAACCCAGGGACAGATGCCCTGCATATGGATCTACGTGCCTGAACTGCAACAAAGGCAACCACTGGGCAAAAGTTTTCCATTCCAACTACCAGAGAGGAACAAGAGGCAGAGGAACAGAGGAAACCCTGCATCGCATCCATGCTCCAAGAGCATAGAACAGTGTAACAGACAAAGATCCACAAGTAGAAGATGTAGAGATGAAGATGAAAGAGGGCTAAGGAACCATTTTGAAACAATTACTTTTGAATCAGTCACAGTTGATGCTATTGTATCTTACGCTCCACCCACAGATGAAGCATTTGTGACCATGAATGTTGACCTACACAACAGCAGCTGCCCAACTGCAGTTAAAGTCATATTAGACACTAGAGCCCAAGGAAACCTACTCCCCTTGAGACTGTATCACAGTATGTACCCTCAAAATCTCACACCTGAAGGTTTCCCTAACCAGGAGTCCTCAAATACTCACCCACAAAGCTTATGGAAGGGCCATGCTGAGACAAATGTAAAATTGGCAAATGTAAAAAATTCCATGCAATTATTGAAACAATTACTTTTGAATCAATCACAGTTAATGCTATTGCACCTCAAGCTTGACCTACGGAGGAAGTATTTGTGACCATGAATGTTGACCTACACAACAGCAGCTGCCCAACTGCACTTAAAGCCAAATTAAACACAGGAGCCCAAGGAAACCTACTCCCCTTGAGACTGTATCACCATATGTACCCTCAAATCTCACGCCCAAAGATTTTCCTAAACCAGGAGCCCTCAAATAATCACCTATAGTGCTCACAGCCTATGGAGGGGCCAAGCTGGGACAACATGGCAAATGAAAAATTCTGTGCAATTTTGAGAGCAGGAGATCAGCCACAACTTTTCTTGTCACAGAAGGTGAAGGACCAGCCATTAATGGTTTACCAACAGCCCTAGCATGACAAGAACTACAATTGATGAATGTTGATGATGGGCGGACACGGTGAGCTTTGCTCTCGCTTTTTACATCTTCTGCTGCTATCATACTGGGTCTGGAACCGTGAAAGTGGGCTCAGTGTTTCTCTAAGTGGTTGCTCGTCTAGTCTTCGTTTTAAAATATCTCCTGGAAAGCAAGAATGGGGCGATTTATCAAGGAACATTTTTGGTTCTGATTGGAATAGTGCGTCGTTTTGCCTGGCCCTTGGGATTACAGATAACATGTTCTTATTCTTTCCACACTGGAATTCGACAATGCTCAAGGTGATGACCAGAATCAAGCGCTGTCATCGCCCTTGTTTGTACTATTCTAATTGCAGTGCAGCATTCCGCTGTGTGATGATTTATGACATTGTTTTCAAACTGAACCCTGGTCCCAATGGTCCGTTAACCCGCAACCCAAACAATCTTATTACTGTGGAGCGGAGTGGAATGTCACTCAGTGACAACGTGTCATTGAAAATATGCAGTTTGAATGCTAGATCGTTACGGAATAAATCAGCAGCCTTTGTTGAATTGGTGAATGATTTGAAAGCCGATTTGTTTACAATTTGTGAGACCTGGTTGTCCGTCAACGACTGTGCTGTTCTTAATGAACTTACTCTGATGGGGTACAACACTCTTTATCACTGTCCACGATCTGGCAGAAGGGGTGGCGGAACTGCACTGCTTGTGAGGAAAGGTTTTGTCACAAGCAAAATATCTTGTATCGAGAAGTCATCTTTTGAGTTGTCAGAGTAGCTTGTTGATGTTAGATCTACTCGGCTATGCATTGTAATAATTTATAGGCCGCCTTCTTCACCTGCTCATCCAGTTTCAATCAGTACGTTCTTTGCAGAATTTTCTCACTACCTTGAATCTGTTGTTATGACCAATGAGCCGCTGGTCCTCTTGGGCGACTTTAACATACATGTTGACGTGCCTACGGATATGGACGCCATACAATTTAGAGATCTCTTGGATTCAATGGGCCTGCAACAACATGTAAAACAACCCACTCACACTCATGGTCACACCCTTGATTTACTTATCACCCAGCAGTCTGATGTCATAGTAGCGAAAGAACCAGAGATAGAGAGATATTTCTCAGATCATGCCGTTGTCCTATGTGATCTTAGGACAGCTGTGTCTG